AAGCAATGGAGAGCTTATGTCTAACTCAAAAGTGGTTGAAAAAAATACTTCAAACCTTGACAACACAGTTCACCTATGTTGTGGTTTTGATCGAAGAATCAAAGGACACAGAGGCGATGTCCATTGATGAACTTCAAAGTTCTTTGGTAGTCCATGAGCAAAAGTTTAAAAAGGTCTACCAAGATAATGAACAAGCACTCACATTGAAGAACAATCAAGGCAGAGGAAGAGGAGCACCTCGAGGTCGTGGACGGGGAAGAGGAAGACAATTTTCAAAAGCCACTGTGGAATGCTTCAAGTGCCACAACTTGGGCCATTTCCAGTATGAATGTCCCAATGGAACAAAGAAGAAGCAAATTATGCGGAGCTAGATGAAACAGAAGAGCTCCTTTTGATGGCTACTGCAGAAAATGAATCCAAAAAGAATGATGCATGATTTTTGGATTCAAGGTGTTCTAATCATATGTGTGGCGATAAATGTTTGTTTGTTGACATGGTATCTAGAGATTAACACTTTGTCAAATGTAGAAATAATTCTCAAATGACTGTTGTGGGAACAGGAAGTATTCATTTGGTGTTCAATGACACTACTTTTCTTGTTCGTGATGTGTACTATCAAAGTCAAATGAAAAGAATCAAATATGGGAACTTATGGACCTACCTGCTAGAGCCAGAACCATCAAAGTCAAATGGATTTACAAGACAAAGTTGAATGAGTTAGGTGAAGTTGATAAATTCAAGGCAACATTGGTAGCTAAGGGGTATTGTCAACAGTATGAAATAGATTTTTCTAAGGTCTTTGCCTCTGTTGCATGCATGGATACAGTAAGGTTGGTCATAGCACTTGCGACATGCAAAGGATGGGACATATTTCAACTAGATGTAAAATTTGCATTCTTACATGGAGAGTTAAGCGAAGATGTGTATATAGAACAACCAAAAGGGTATGTCAACAAAGGGAAGGAACACAAGGTTTACAAGTTACTTAAAGCCTTGTATGATCTAAGGCAAGCACCAAGGGTCTGGTTCAGTTGTATAGAAACACACTTCATGCAAAAAGGTTTTCAAAAATGTCCAAGTGAGCAGACTCTATTCATCAAACGAAACACTAGGGAAAACATATTGGTTGTCAACATATGTGGTAATGATTTAATTTATACTAGCAATGACATAGGAATGATGCTTAAATTCAAGAAGTCTATGATGCAGGCCTTTGATATGACTGATTTAGGGAAGATGAGATTCTTCCTTGGCATTGAGGTCTTACAAAAACCAGAAGGAATTTTTGTATGTTAATAGAAATATGCCAATGATGTGTTGAAGAAGTTTGTAATGTCAGAGAGAAAGCCTGTGAGAAGCCCAATTGTTCTAGGTATTAAGATTAACAAAGATGTTAAGGGTATAGCTGTGGATGACACTTATTTCAAGCAAATTATAGGAAGTTTATTATATCTAACGGTCACACGACCAGATATCATGTTCAGTGTAAGCTTAATTAGCAGGTATATGTCAAAGCCAACAGAGATGCGCTTACAAGCTACTAAAAGAATCTTGAGGTATTTAAAAGGAACTACTAGTTATGGGATATTCTACAAGAAGGGAGGAGAAGAAAATCTGCTTGCTTTCATAGATTCTGATTATGCAGGAGATGAGGATGACTCTAAAGCACTTCTAGTTATGTATTCTTGTTGAGTTCAGGAGCAATTTCATGGATGTCCAAGAAATAATCAATTGTTACTCTCTCAAGTACTAAAGCAGAATTTGTAGTTGCTATTGCAAGTGCCTGCCAAGCAATGTGGATGAGAAGAGTCTTGAGACACTTAATTCATACTCAGGATAGTAGCATTATTATTATGTGTGACAATAGCTCAATAATTAAACTTTCAAAGAATCCAGTAATACATGGCAGGAACAAACATATTAAAGTACGTTTTCATTTTTTAAAAGACCTTGTGCAAGATGGAGAAATCGAGTTGGTGCACTACGGAACCAAGGAACATGTTATTGATCTAATGACCAAGGCCTTAAAACTTGAGGTTTTCCATAATCTCAGGAAGAAGATGAGAATGCGTGATTTTTGTGAAATAAACTAACTTCCTACTACAGTTAGTTTAAGGGAGGGAATGAAAAGGTCTTCGTGGTTTATTTTTATTACATAATAAAAGGTCATTTTGTATGATTGTTTTTGTTACTACATCCTAGATTGTAAGAGCATTTTTTATCACATAGTTATAGTGACTATTTACATTTATTTGTTTGTGGCTATTTAATAGTCTCTTTGCATTCAATAAAGACATTCGATTGGCATAGTTGCAATTACGTATAATTTCTATTTATTACATTGTAAACACTCACATTAGTTGTGTTGTATATAACGAAAACTATTGTTTGATGTACATTTGGTTTTGTCAAATTAGTTACACATAAAAATAATAAGCAATGAAATGTTATTGGATAGATGTGAATAAAAGGGTACTTTAGGTATTATAAAAAATTGAAAATGTGAACAGTAAAAAGGGAGGTGCAAATAACATTTCTAATTCTTGGTCGGGTTGAGTGGGTGGGCTCAGCCGTTTTTTGTTTAGTAGTTGATGCATTGGGTTTAACTATTGTTGTATGTTTTTTTTTTTTTCTTCATCCTGTTTTTCGTGTATTCATGGACAAGTAGCAATAAAACTTCACAAAGCTTAAAGAAAGTTATTTTGTAAAGTGGCAAAAGAGTTGAGAAAATTTACTATTGAAGCATTCAAAATTTTTGGTCTTACATACATATGCATGTAGTGGTTAGGGTGTCCTTTTTTATAGGACAGGGATCCACTAACGGTCACAACGTTGCTTGCTTCCTTCAAACTCATTTCGAACTAAGCAAAGACAAAAAGTAAGGAAGATGGTAAAGATCACAAAACTGGTTGGTAAGGTCCATGGCACCAACATATGTTACCTATATGACCAACTACGAGTTTGTGCTTCACATTTTGATTTTAGTAATGTTTGGGATGCAAAAACTAAATATTTTTCTCATTGTTAAGTAACCACTTTAATATTTATTTATTTATATCTTTTATCTAATTGTGTAAAATGATGAATTAATTTTAAAAATAATATATTAAAAAAGAATTATTTAATTAAATTATCTGTCAATTTATTTATTTAATTAAACTATTGATATACAAAATTTAATTATGGAGAATAAAATATAGTCACATAATTTTTTTTATATCTTCACCCACTATCTGTTTTTCTCTCTTTTCTCATTTATTTCTTATTTTTCTTTTTTCTTTCTCGGCGTCTTTTATTTTTCTTTTCTCTCTTCCTAACTTATTCTTCTAATTAAAAATACTATATTAAAATTTGATAAAAGCATATTAAAATAGATTTTTCAAAATCAACATTCAAAATAATAAAATTTTTTTAATAAATAATTTTTTAAAATTACGTAATCAGACTAATCATCCTAATACAACTTGATTATAACAAGATTGCATTATTAAATTATTAAATAAAACAATAATAAATATTTAATATATTTTAACTGGATAAATAATTAATTTATTATGATAAAATAATATTAATTTAATTGAATATTTTTATCGTAATTTAAATAATTAATTGATATTTTTAATTTTAATATTGATTTTAAAAAATTACTTTACTACATTTTTATTAAATTTCAATTTAATATTTTTAATCAGGAAACTGAGTAAGAAAGAAGAGAGAAGAACAAAAGTCATTAAGAAGGAAAAGAGAGAAACAAGGAGTAAATGAAAAACAAAAAAGAAAAAATAAATAAATTGAGCGATAAGAAAAAAAATTGAAAAAACAATTATTTAAATAATTTCTTTAATATATTATTTATATATTGATTTGCAAAATATAGAAATGAAGTTTATTTGCTATATAGGTCAAATTTAAAAGTCATTTTTCAGATTATATGCCTCTTATGTTTACTTGTTCAAATAAATAAAATAATATCATGAAATGGTATTTTCTATTAAATAATTAGTTGATTTATAGATTTAAACTTAATTACGGCTATCATGTCCTAAGCATTCAGTACATTAAATATTTGAAAGAAACTTTTCATCACATGCTGATCTTACCATTACTATTTTATTACTATTTATTCTCTTTATTACATCATTGTTTTCTCTTTATGCACATAAATAATTTGTAAGTACAAAGAATAAACTTTGTACAACAACAAAAAATAATTAATTCGTAAATCTATTATAGTATTTTAAAATTATATTCTTACTATTTTATTTAAAGACTTTAATTCACCGACTCACTTATTTGAAAGATTTTATTAAAACAATGTTTAAAAAATTTAGGCTAGTTCAAACTTTTTAACTAGACTATAATAGAAACTTTTTATATTCATAAAAAAGATAAATAAAATAAACTTATATTAAATAAACAAATTTAGAAAAATGAAAACTTGGGCATAATGAAACGGACATATCTACTCAATCATTAATCACACATTATCATTGGAAATTTATTCAACCATTTGTACGTTCCTATCAAGTGAATCAAATTAGAGAATTTTCAAAGAAATGAGACAATTGCACTTGCAAACGAGAAAGGGAAAAGAGATGCATTGTGTCAAGTTTCTTGATGTTGAGTATGACAAAAAAAAGTTTCTTGATTAAGGAATTTTCTTTCTCTTTCAAACACAACCGTTGAAGTGTTATGTTCACTCTCTCACAACATGTTGTTCTGATTTGTAGCGGTAGCTTTAAGAAAGGGAAACTTAAACAGAAACCCCAAGTGTGAGATAGTGATAGATAGCAATAACATTGTGCAGGTTCATAACAACCATTTGGTGAGACATAGCTGGAACCCCAAGAGAATTCCCTGGAAGGTTCTTCTACAATATTATACATCCAATACCTTAGCATTTTGCCACTTAACAACTGTTGATCTATAAAACTTTTGTCTGAGAAAGTTTCTTGGAGCCAATTGCAAACAGTTGATAACATCGAGCACATATTCTGATAATGAGGCTTGTCTTCTCAGCTCTTTCTGTTCTTGTGTTATTCTCTTGTGTAGGTGAGATACAAGTTTCACTATATGCTGATATTCTTTCACTAACACATGAAATGTTCAACTAATGTTATAATCTTTTGTTGTCTTAGTTGCTTATGATCCTTTGGATCCAAACGGAAACGTGACAATCAAATGGGATGTTATGTCTTGGACACCAGATGGCTATGTGGTAACACAAAGTGCATTGCTACTTGTTTTATATTTAACTGTGTTTGTGAGATTGCTTGCAAAATTGATTAAGAAAATTCAGTATCATTTTTTTTATCCAACTTCAAATTACTTGAAGCTGCTTCAACTCAATCAGTTTTGAATCCAAAAAAACCACGTCAAAATTATTGTATCTAAATCTTTTTATCTTCACGTAAGACCTGCATCAAATGCTATTGGATGAGAAACCAAACAATCCTTAAGTCACACCAAATTCAAATAAATAGCTAGAAATAGTTGTCATGGATGCCATAAATAGTGTCAATATATTGTTAGCTAGCATTGCAACATATAGCAGAAGTAAAATGCATGAATGAAACCAACTTGAATTCATCTGATATATGCCTACTGCATTTTCCATCAGGCTGTGGTAACAGTTCACAATTTCCAAATGTTTCGGCACATCATGAATCCTGGATGGACCTTGGGATGGACATGGGCCAAGAGAGAAGTGATTTGGTCCATGGTAGGAGCTCAGGCCACAGAGCAAGGTGATTGCTCTAAGTTCAAAGGCAACATACCTCATTGCTGCAAGAAAATTCCTACAGTTGTAGACCTGCTCCCTGGTGTTCCTTACAACCAGCAATTCTCAAACTGCTGTAAGGGTGGAGTGGTGGCTGCATGGGGCCAAGATCCTTCACAAGCTATCTCATCCTTCCAACTGAGTGTAGGCCAAGCTGGTACCACAAACAAGACAGTTAAACTCCCCAAGAATTTCACTCTCTTGGCTCCTGGACCAGGCTATTCTTGTGGCCCTGCCAAGATAGTTCCTTCCACCACTTTCCTTACGCCTGACAAGCGCCGCAAGACTCAAGCTCTAAGTGAGATCTCTAACCTGACAATTTCAATTTGATCACCAACTTCACCATCAACAATTCTCAAGAGTCTCATTTGCTTTGTCTTATGCAGTGACATGGAATGTTACCTGCACATACTCACAGTTCCTGGCAAGAAAGAACCCAAGTTGTTGTGTATCTTTGTCATCCTTCTATAATGAAACCATTACCCCTTGTCCTTCTTGTGCCTGTGGCTGCCATAACAAGAAGAATTGTGTCAAGTAAGTCCGACGTAGCAAATTGATGACCTTATTCTAGAGTAAATTACATTTATATGCACTGCAGTTGGAATATACCATTTACTGAGTTATACTTTTGATATTATATCAAATTTCATCTTAAAATAAGTATTGAGTGATGTTGTTCAATAAATATGTGAGTTTCAGTACAATAATTGAGACAGATCACAAAAGTTTCTGATATTCCTTCCTTTATTTTTTTATCCTAAGACTAATTTTCCTTAATTATTTAAAAAACATTATACTGAAATCCTTATTTCTAGGGAATACATTACCCATGAAATATCTGTAAATGTTAAAATATTGAAATAGTCATGTACAATCTCAAGAAATCTGTTAACATAATTTGTTCTATAAATTAATAGAGAATTTCCAATAACTTGTATCACTGTTGGTGTGGTATGCAGGAGTGACTCCAAAATTCTCAGCATGGTGGGTGTTCACACTCCCAAGAAAGACAATGAACCCTTGCTGCAGTGCACTCATCACATGTGTCCAATCAGGGTTCACTGGCACGTGAAGGTTAACTATAAGGAATATTGGAGAGTCAAGATTGCCATAACAAACTTCAATTACAGGATGAATCACTCCCTCTGGTCTCTTGCTGTTCAGCATCCAAATCTTAACAATCTCACCCAAGTTTTCAGTTTCAATTACAAGCCTCTTCTTCCCTATGGTTCAATTAGTGAGTGCAAGCAAATCAATCTTCTTAAGCTTCTATTATAATTCAATAACTTCAAGAATGAGCATTCAAGCATGTTTTTATTATTCATGCAGATGACACTGGCATGTTCTATGGCATGAAATACTTCAATGATCTTCTAATGGAAGCTGGACCAACTGGGAATGTTCAATCAGAGCTGCTTCTTCAAAAGGACAAGGATACATTCACATTCAAGCAGGGTTGGGCTTTTCCTCGCAAGGTCTACTTTAATGGTGATGAATGCATGATGCCCCCACCTGACACCTACCCGTTTCTACCTAACTCTGCACCTGCAAGCCTCATTACCTTCCCAGCATTCACTTTCTTATTGCTTTTCTTGTTAGCAGTTTGGTGAACTGGTGCATAGTGTGTCAGAATTTTGTTAAAATTTTGAACCATGTATACCTTCTGAATGATAACGTTACAATAGGCATGAATACTACAATTCTTTGGAAACACTAAGCCAATCCCATGGCTGTGTTTTTCTGACATGAGCACCAGGGATACTTAATGTAAATCTCAGAAGTGATTTTGTCCGAATCATAGATTACTGATGCTGTAACTGCAATGCCATGAATAATTCGTATATCTTTTACTCTGTTTCTTTGGACTACGTTTACTGCATATTTGGATGAGCGTTTTTGAGTTTTAGTTAAAATAAATTTCAAAGAATAATAATTTATGTTTAGATGCTTAAATTGCAAAAGTAAGTGAATGGTAAAATTCAATATAATTTTGTTATCCAACACAAAAAACTATATCTCACATTGCTTTAACTAAAAAAAACACATTTCTTTCACCAATGTAAGAAAAAAATCTCACTAATAAAGAAAAGTACTCCCTCCATTCTACAATTCCCACAGTATAAGATTATTGCACTACGTATTAAGAATAAAAATAAACATCTTTTAAAAAAAATAATTTTAGTAAAATAGTTTCCCTCTTTTCATAAATTCCTTACCTTGAACAAGAAAGAAAAAAAATAATTAATTTAAGTACATATTGGGAATAAAAAAAATGCTTCATTGAATAGTCTGCATCATATAATTATATCAATTTCATTAAACAATAAATCATTTTCCCAAATTGCTCTTCCTAAAACTTAATATAAATTTTTTTAAAAAATAAACTTTAGTTAAATGAAAAATATTTTGAAAATAATCTTATTAAATAATTCAATATAGTTATAATGATAAACCTAACAAAAAAAAAAAATGAATGGATGCTAGAAAAAATAAGATATCCACAATATATATATATATATATATAGTTATTTGAGATGGAGAGAAGTAAATATGAACATTAACAATCATGTTCACTAGTTTGTTATCGTGGCTTTGATGGACCTTACATGAATACCTACACACTGGAACATGCATCACAACTAAATACCTGAACCAAAGAAACTAAATTAACCACCACCTTCCAAAATATACACTGATGATTCCAATTAGGTGGCTGCAAAGAATAAACAATTATCATTTCAAGTACAGACATGCGTTTATGAATTTCTTCTTTTACTGTGTACCTTTGAATATTTCTTGTGCATACAGAACCAACTATGGATCTAAAACGAATAAACACATCATTACACTATAACATGTAGAAATAACAATATAGTAGCAAATTCAATCGCCCCATATGCTGAAACTAAGAAACAAATCATGGGACAACATGGCTACTCATGAATTGTCTCTGGATTTCTTACTCCAGCTTGGTTCAAATCCCAAATTGGTATCCCAAAATTGAGTCAAAACTTGTCACATTGAACATTTTTTATGACAGATTTGGGTGTGCCATGCATAGAAACTTTAAGCATATGCATGTAATACCAAGGCCACCAAAGAGGTCATCATCAAAGCAAGCAGGGAAACCTCTTGCCTGGAACCAGCATTAGGTAACCATGGATAAGCATCAGGTGGTGGCATCACACAAACGTCACCATTGAAATAGACTCTCCGAGGGAAGGCCCAACCCTTGTCAAAAGTGAAAGTTGATTTATCTTTTCTGAATAGTAGCTCTGACTGAACATTACCAAGAGAACCAGCTTGCATGAGAAAATCATTGTAGAACTTAACTCCCCAAAGCATTGCTGTATCATCTGTTAAAAAGCAACATGGATCAATTAGTTTGTGCCTCCACAAAAAATACATGTTTTATGGCGCAAACAAGAATATATTGCTCATGCAGTGATTATCACCAGAATGTTTAGAATGTTACTTTCAAATATTTGTACATTTTAAAGGGAGGTCAAAATTTAAACAAATATAACTTCAAAGAAAAAAGTGTAAAACTATAATGGATGTATGCATAGGTAGATTTTCTTAGAAAAATATAAAATTATAAACAAGATATAAAATTCCCTGAAAGATCACACTTACTTATTGATCCGTAGGCAGTTATTGCCCGGTAGTTGAAACTGAAAAGCTGAGTAAGATTGTCAAAGTTTGGATGCTGAATGACCAAGTTCCAATCAGAATAATTCATCCTGTAATTGAAATTAGTAACAGTGACCTTCACGCGCCAGTACTCCTTGTAGTTAAGCTTCACATGCCAGTGAACTCTGATCGGGCACATATGCCGAGTACATCGAACCAAAGGTGTAATACTACTTTTCCCAGGCCCAGGGTTAGAAACAACTGAAGCCAGATGTGGTGAATCTGGACTGTGATGATACGAAAAAAGGACATGTGCTGTTAGTATATACAATTTTTATTTCTGTCAAGAAAAAAAAAATCAGTGAACCAAATATTAAAACCTACTTTACACAGTCCCCTGTTTGTGATGAGTTGCCCTGGCAGCCACATGCACATGTAGGGCAGGGTACAACAGTATCATTATAGAAAGATGAGAGCGAGACGCAGCAAGTAGGCGTTCTCTGAGCAAGAAATTGTGAATATGTGCATGTCACATTCCATGTCACTGGGATAAATCAGAGCAATGTTAGTTCAAACTAAATTGATGGATCTTGGTAATATGAAGTAAAAACTCAGAACAACTGTTAACTTAGGTTCTGTTTGAATAAACTTCTATGTAAGTATGTATAGGAGAAGAGAATAAGAATTAATTGGGTTCCTCTCAAGCAAAAATCAACTTATACACCTCAACGATTGCAAAAGTTAAATGAGAGCTTCCATGAAAGTAAGTGTATACAAGTTGAGTTTAGGTTATAGGAAAAAAAAAACAATTCATTTTACCTTCCTATTAGAGAACTTTATCTAAACATGAACTTAGCCCAGTTAAACAATATTACCAGAGTAGCAGATTTTAGCACTAACAAAAACTACAACAAATAGTATTTAATTGGTAAGTGTGGAGTGAACATAAAATTCCAATAACTTACTAAGTGCTTGGGTCACTCTTCTTTTGTCTGGTTGTATGAATTCAGTTGGTTGCACGATTTTTGCAGGGCTACATGTGTAACCGGGTCCTGGTGCTTTCAAGTTGAAATTTTTTGGCAGTTTGACAGTTTTGTTAGTGGTACCAGCACTACCTACACTGACTTGAAAGGCAGAAACTGCTTTGGATTGATCCTGAGCCCATGAGCTGAGTACACCACCTTTGCAGCAGTTTGCAATTTGTTGATTGTAAGGTGTTCCTGGAAGTAAATCTACAACTGTTGGGTCTTTTTTACAGCAATGTGGGACGTTTCCCTTAAATCTTGAGCAATCCCCTTGTTCAATGGCCTGACTTCCCACCATGCTCCATATTACCTCCTTCTTTGCCCATGTCCATCCTAACGACCACCCAGGTGCTGAGATATGACGATATTGTTGGAAATTGTTCATTGTAACAACAGCCTGTCCATTCAAATATTTCTTAGACATCTAAATAACTAATTGAACAGAAATAAACCAATCCATTCTAAATGGCTCTAGCCACTACTATTAATGAACTCATGTTTACAATAATTTTACAGCTTCCATAGTAAAAAATGAGCAGAAACTTGAATTTTCTATAAAAATTGCTAGAGCTGCAAATCCTGTCTCATTCCTATTTGGAACAAGAAGAATGCTAGTATGTAAATGTACAAATACACTCTTTGCTAATTGAAATTGACGTAGGACCCATTAAATACAAACTGGGATCACACAATTTTAATGATCCCACATGAATTTCAATCAATGGTAAAGGGTGTTAGTGAACATATTGCTTTCATTTCTCTGTGAACAAAATGTTTTTTTGCTTTTCAATCTTTTAAACTAATTATATGATCCAAGTAAGAACTGAAACATGAGATGCTACTGGTGTGAACATGCAGATCCATCACAAAAGAGGAGCCCAGCTAGTGGAGAGAAAAAGAGCCAAAAACATTTTGACTATGTCTAACTGTAAATCAGATTATTTGCTTCTGTTATTAATCGGTGACATTGCAAAAGAATGTACTTACAACATAACCATCAGGTGTCCAACTTATAATATCCCATTTGATTGTGATATTTCCATTTGGATCAAGTGGATCATAAGCTTCTGAAAGATAAACAGTGAAACTCAAAATTAAAATTAATTTATGAAAGCGCGGAAGGTAAACACTGAACTTTTAAATTTTCCTATAACCTCCAGTACATTAAACACAAAAGACAGTGACGATATTCATGAAAGGTGCGATGTAAAATTTTCTGGACTTGCTAAAGCAAATGAACAAAGAAAGTGGACAAGCCAATATTTATCCAAGTCAATAACTAGTTCATGAAATCATACAACTACACTTTACATATTCAAGCACCAGTGATCAAAAACTCACTTGACACCACGTAAATTCAATGTCATATCAATTTTTAACCATCACTTTATAACAACACAGATAATCATAATTTCAAATCCATTGCTTGGTACCAAAATTTAAGCAAACAGCAAGAAAAAAATAACGAAGGAATCCAAACACCATATTTCCCACTACAACAAATGGCATCATTAACAGGAAAAGCCACTACAAGCCAACAAAGATCAAAACTTTCAAAAGTATTAACAGTGTCTTTAGTTCCTATGTTCTATAAGTTCCTGAAAAACGCGCCATCCTTGCTTGTCGTGCCCCATTTTTAGAACCATAACTTTTCCTGTTTGCATTTTTGAAATTCCCAAACCTTAGTCACCAAGGAACGAAAACTTATGATTTTAGGACCAAACCTGCGATTAGGACTAAAATATGGCATTTAAAAATTAGAGAGACGAAAATTTAAGGTTTTAACAATCAGAAACTAAACCCAAAGACGACCCATTTCTCAGAAACTAAAAAACCATCAAACCATTTTTAAAACTTGGACAAAATCCATCACCAAACAAAGCGCTCCACCAGTCTCAAACATTCATTCAACACCCCGTGAGGACCACGCCATGCAAGAAGGAGCGATGAAAAAATAAAACGCAAACAATCTCGTACCCAAGAGAGAAAAGACGACAACCCATCAACCGAAAACACAGAATAAACGAAAATTCCAAAACTTTAACGAGAAAAAAGGCCAGCACGAGTACAGGAACCTGTTGAGGTGAAGCACGTGCAAGAGAAGAGAAGCAAAAACAGAATGCATGGACAGATTTTGAAGAAGGATCGGATCGTGGGGGTGAAGGTGAAAGGGAGAAGCATTTTTCTTTGAACAAAGGGAATGTTGAGGGCGTTCAGAAATTTTTTTGGGGTGAGAGAGAAAGAGAACAGAGTGAACAAAAAGAACAGAGGAAGAGAGAGAAAGAGTCTGTGTGAAAAAACTACGCGGCGGAAACTGACTGTTTTGTTGTGTCCAGTTGGCGAGTGTGAGTCAGCGGAAGATATCGTGGGCTCTGAAATTCCACTGGAAGCATTGCCAGCTTATAGAAGTTCAGCCCCTTTAATTTTATTTTTTTCTATTTTTTTATTTTTCATTTCTCAGATATTTTATACGTGATAATTTTTTTATAATTACTTTTAAAAAATAAATAAAAAATATTTTATTTTATTTTTTCTCTTTTTTCCTCTATAATTATATATTATATTTCTTTTATATATTTTACTATTTTTTAAATATATAAATTATGTAATTATGTTTTTATTATATGTTTTCTTTTATATATGTTATTGTTTTTTAAATATATAAATCATTATAATTATTTTTTTCTTTACATTATGATATTTTTAATTTTCTCTTTCTGATAGCACAATACAAGTGATTATAATAAAAAAAATTATTATATATAATCGTAGAAAAAAAGTATATTTCAAAATAATACTTAAACTCATTTAGAAATTCATAAAGAATCCATTATAGTTATCACTATTTATAATTTTTGACGGAAATAAAAATAATGTATTTTCATTGTTAATTAATAAATGAAAAAAATAACATATAAATTTTAAATTTTAGTTTAACTTCTATTCATTTTTAATACAAATTTTCTAATATCTTCAACTAAAACATATGTTAAATATGATTTATATAAAACTTATTACAAAGTCAAAAAATTTGTAGTGATCAATATTATAAAAACATTACACTATATATTATTTAGTTTTTTAATGTTTCTTTCTTTCTTTTTTTAATTAAAATTTCAAACTTTATTCTCTCTTTATTCATGATTTACGTTATAACAATATCATCCTATTATGTATCATAATTGGATCGTTACTAAAAGAAAGCTTGTACAATTATCTAATCTAGTTATAGCAATTTTAAACCTTCTAATATTAAATTATCATTTAAAAAACAGAAAGTTTTAATATATTTTTAAACTATGATTCCAATTTTTGTTGAAATAATTATAGAAAAAGAACGAATAATAAATTAAAGATAGTTATAATTTTGCTAAAGAAACATTTATCATGTCAAAAAAGTGCTTATTTAATAAAATAAAAGTTAAAATTATTTCAGAATAATTAATAATTAAATAATATTCAATGTAACAATTTTCTACAATAAAAATGATATTTAATAAAATTAGATTTTAACTCCTGATCATCTCAACCTTTTGTAGAATTTAATAAAAATATGGATGTAAATATAATTTAATAAAATTTAAGGGATTAGTCAATAATAAAAATACTAAATCACTTGAAATTTTATCCAAAATATATTTTTCTAAAAAAATTATAATTTTCCTTTTTATTTTTTTGTTAAAAATGTCTTGATTATTTAAACAAACATTACAAAGGCATTTGAATTAAACAAAATATATAGATGGTAGCTTTTGAATTATTAATATAATTTGTGTGGACAATTAATAAATTTAAAATATTTTAAATATATAACTTTAATTTTTTCACAAAATGTCATATTGAATTTTTTTTTTTCATACCAATATTTGTTTTTCTTTATCGTCTGAAATCTTCGTACTTAAGATTCGCGGAACGAAACGGTGAATGAGACGCGCACACTTCCGCTAATTAAGGTTAATTTATTCAAAACTAGTGAAAAAAAAACTCTTATGTTTTTCAAAAATAAATAATAAAAGTGGGTAATTTCCATAATATAATTAGAAGTGTGAATAATTAAATAAAATAATTATTATTCCATTTCATTTATGTACAATATCTCTTAATTCATCAAAATCTTATAAACGAAACTTAAATCCCAAAGTAATAATAATATTAAACCTAACATACGGATATTATACCTAACCAAATTAGGTTAACATTTGGAAATACTCATGAAATAATTTGGGTGCATATAAAAGTTTTGTATGTGAAAAGTTTTAATATAAAATTACCAAGAAATCACTAAATTCTTAAAAAGTATTAGATAAAGTGACCATATTAAAAATACACACACAAACTTCATATTTTTATTACATATACTTAAATTTTAAATAATAAATTGGGGAAAGTGCTTTTGTAAAAATGGTTTTATGTAGATAGTGATTACTTGCGTCCGGACTCTACTTTTCACGTTTGAACATTACTTATTATCTAAGCAATGAACACTGCAAGTTTTATATCTTTTGTTCTATAAAAAATTAGGACACTTATATTTGCGTGTTTGGTTTTCTTTTCCTTTAATTTTTTTTTACTTCAACTTTTTTTAGATTTATTTTCTGTTTTAAAATATTTGTACAATAAATATTAAAATAAATGTTTTTCTTGTAGATATCTATAGACCATGAGAAGAAAAAAGTTTTTAATTCAATGAAATGTTAGATATAATGTATTATCCTCAACTGAAACAGTGAAAAAAATGTTAGTTTAAAAGTTGAACGGATTCCACATATTTAATTAAATAATTTTTGTATAATATAATTAATTAGGAAGGGTGTTTTTTTATATGTAAAAATAATAAATATTATTATTATTAATGTGAATTATAATAAAAATTATAAATATAAATATATTAAAAAAATAAGATGAATAATTATTAAAATAAAATAAAAAATAAAATAATAATAATAAAAAATAATTAAAATATATTATATTTTTTATAAAAAATAATTTTAATTTTTTTATTATGAATTCAATTCAAAAAATTTAGTCAATTTTACTAATTTTATTTTAATATAATTATTTAAAAGTAATATATCAATTTTTAATTCGATGTGTACCATTTTGAAACAATGGTTAGAAGAATAAATTTTAAAAATATATAAAGTTTTGATATAGAAATTTATAAAAAAATATTTTTTATCTTATAAACAACAAATTTATTTTACCTTTTTTTTTATATAAATACTTAAATTATCTAAACTAACTAAACTTGCTTTCTTACATTATTCAATTCATTATCTCAACTGTCATGAGAGCACGCTTTTTGAGAAGCCACATACTCTCTTTTCATGGGCTCGTATGACAACGATAAAACCCATGCGTTGACCATCGTTGGAGTTCAAAATGTAACATGAACATTATACTTAAATATATATATATATATATATATATATATATATATATATATATATATATTATTTCTAGCTATGCATAATTTTACAAATAATATCATTCAAATAAATTGTATTATTTTGCAATTCCCCTGCCAATAATATATTTAATTTTTATTATAATTTTATTCTATATAATCTTAAATATGCTCTATTATATTAATTACTTTTAAAAGAATAGATAGACATATGAATCTTTAAATAAATTAAAAACAACTTTAAATCATGGAATTATTTTAAGATCTATTTTTTTTATTTATAAACTTTAATTCTATTCCATTTTTATTATTTCTATTAGATGATATATTTATGTATTATTGGTTATTCACTTATAAAAATAATATCTTTTATTATGGTTAAAAAAAGTTATAATAATTTTTAATAGTCGTTAATTTAATCATTGTTAAAAATTAATAAATTAATAATAATTTTGAATCGTGATATTAGATTATCGATAAAATAATAATTATATTTATAATTATTGTGGCATGTTAAAAATTTCATTTTGTTTCGAACAAATGTAGAAGTTCTATCACAATAAATAAATAAGTAATATAACAAATTTAGAAGGTCTATCACGACAACTCTGCTCCCTTATTGTTACTCATCTGCAACAGAAACTTTCATTGCTTTCTTGTTGCTCCACCACAAGTTTATAAGTTTTTTCCACCTCCTCATTACTACTATTCTAACTCAGTTTCAACGCGTCTAGTAAAACATTTTCCTCTACCTCCGTCACAACAAAATATTGTTTTCTACCTCTGTCTTAACAAAATGTTCTTTCATTATTGTTTTTCTTCGTGACAACCTTAGGTGTGTTGAAGACCGTGACGGATCTTCTTGGGAGATGAAGGGGGTCGTGGCCTCTCCAAAGTTTTGTAACTCTCATGTAATTTATGATTTTGGCCCTTCAAACTTAATGAACATTTAATATATTTACTTGTTTATTTACAATTTTATCCTCTAAGTCCCTCCTCAATTTTGTAACTCTCATATAACTTATGATTTTATCCCTCTCAAACTTAATTATCATTTAATATATTTAAGTATATATCTACAATTTTATCCTTTTACCTTTTCATCTTCTTTCTTTCTTTTATAACCATCCTCGTCCTCGCTTGGATTTCGGGTTCCTCGCCCAGTCCCTGATCTATATTATTTTTAAAGTGATAATTACATTTATAA